GACCATATACGGACGTGCCTCTACGTGTGTAATGTGTGTGTGAGTGTGTGTGTGTGTGTGTGTGTGTGTGTGTGTGCTGTAGATGACATGATGGTGTATTTGCCTCCTTGACAAAAGTAATGTAAGGTTTGTTGGTTTGTTCGTGTTTTAACGTCCCCGTATCAGCTATTGTCATATGAAGACGAGTGTCGTGAGAGATACCGCCGATAACAAAGGTAGAGAGAGAGAGAGAGAAAAAAAAACATACGCTTTAACTCTAAAAATATTATTTTAGATAGGTAAAAGCACTCTATAAACATGTTCATTTGCAGTGATTGGGGAGGGCGTTCTACAAAGGTAGGCAAAATGTACAAACTTTAATATATATCATTGTTGTTGTTCTGTTATAGCGTAATTGTACCAATGTTGTCCGATACTTAAGAAATTAGTTTTGTTGTTTATACAATACGTAATTTTATCAATGTTGTTCAGTAAATAAGTAGTTTTGACATTTTTGTTAAGATATACATGTACAGTATTTAAATCGGTTTTGGTCAGTTGTAACATAACTATTTTAATGATGTTCAGTTGTTATTAATAATATCGATGTTTCTAGATGTTAATATAATAAATTAATGTTATCCTGTTGCTAAGGATATATTCTTCTGAGGTTTCAATCACGTTAAAGTCTCGTTTTGATGTCGTGTAAGTTTATTTTTTATTTTTCTAAATATTTTACAAACTATGATCAATATTAATAGCGGTAATAGTTCGGTACATATAAAACAACCTTTTGTACAAACGCTTACAGCGTAGCCGTGTCGATATCGATTTGTGGACAACTCGCACGCGTCACTGGTCGTTTGCCTGATAAGGGTGAGAGAGTACATACGGTACTAGTCATCGACACGTCACATATAAACACTTATATGTTGTGCTACATGAATATTTTCACAATTGAGTACACTTAGTGAAATAAGCATCAGCTGATATATACATACTTCAAATATGGCGCCGGATTATTTTCTGTTTTCTTTACGGTCTCAGCAAAATTTATCATCACATTTGCATACATGTAATATGTATTCATGTCTTCACAGCTACACACCAAACACGAGGTACAGAAAAATACGAAAAAGAATTAATAAACGTGTTGTTAACTCGAAATGAACAATACTTAAATAAAAAAGAGATTAACTGATATAATTTAGGTCAGTATTTTTCTCTTTTACTTGCATTACTCAATAGCAGCTTCGTTCTGCAACATTTGACGAGTCACTATCAGAGCAGCCTATCAGTGCACCAAAATAACGACCGACGTAAAGGATAGAAAAACGTAGGAATGATAATGTATAAAGTTTTTACCAAAATTAGCGCCCTCTACTTATTAACGCTCTTCCTTTTTTTTCATCACATATCGAGTGATACATTACAATGACAAATTTCAATAAAAGTATGAAAATACCGCTCTCTGTTTTCTTAATCATGAACATTTTGACAGATTATTTCGAAAAACAATTCTTCCGTTTCCAAACGAAATCAGGCGCCACATTTAAAACATAAAATCAACTGCAATTCAAATGTTTCAAAACATTTATTTGACCAGTCAATATCAAGTCAACTAGATATTTCCAACGGAATATATCTGTAACAGATTAAATGATAAAACTCACACCCCGTTATATAGCATGTGTTATGTCGTTGTGCTAGTGTACGTCCACCACGTAACAGGTTGATTTCTGTACTTTACAATGGGTACACCCGACACATATATGTATTTACAGTTTCAACTATGCGGATCACACATACGTAATATACAATGTACCCCACTGGCTGAGGCTCTAGTTTTCAAAGCAAAATAAAGAATGTTTTCTATCACACCCTCCCCGGATATTTTCGATATCTCTTTTTTTCGGCCTGAAATTGATAAAAGTTTTCCAGCTCCCGCGAGGCGTCAGCCTTACTCCCTACTTTCGCTCCCCCAATCCCCACTCACCACACCCATTTTTATGAGATTTATTGAAAAATACTAAAAATAACTAAAAAAAATACTTTTACTCCTTTTTTTAATTATAATTATTTGCTTTAGTAAGGAGTTTCTGAATAAAAAAAACACACACAATTTTATATCGTGTTATCCCTGAAGTCACTTTGATAACCTCTCACCCTCTCACTGTTTTACCCTCTCTTTAAATATACAAACTACGAATGCTGAATTTTCCTCCATCGTTATTTTGTGTCTACGTTATTCTTACCCAATTAAAACAGATATGTTTCACAATCAGAATCATTGTATATTTCTTAGGTTTACCATTCCCTTAGGTTTACCATTCCCTTAGGTTTACCATTCTCTTAGGTTTACAATTATCTTATGTTTACCATTCTCTTATGTTTACCATTCTCTTAAGTTTACAATTATCTTACGTTTGCCATTCTCTTAGGTTTACCATTCTCTTAGGTTTGCCATTCTCTTTGGTTTACCATTATCTTATGTTTACCATTCTTTTAGGTTTACCATTCTCTTAGGTTTGCCATTCTCTTAGGTTTACCATTCTCTTAGGGTTACCATTCTCTTATGTTTACCATTCTTTTAGGTTTACAATTATCTTACGTTTGCCATTCTCTTAGGTTTACCATTCTTTTAGGTTTACCATTCTCTTAGGTTTGCCATTCTCTTAGGTTTACCATTCTCTTAGGGTTACCATTCTCTTATGTTTACCATTCTTTTAGGTTTACCATTCTCTTACGTTTGCCATTCTCTTAGGTTTACCATTCTCTTAGGTTTACCATTCTCTTAGGTTTGCCATTCTCTTAGGTTTACCATTCTCTTAGGTTTACCATTCTCTTAGGTTTGCCATTCTCTTAGGTTTACCATTCTCTTAGGTTTACCATTCTCTTAGGTTTGCCATTCTCTTAGGTTTACCATTCTTTTAGGTTTACCATTCTCTTAGGTTTGCCATTCTCTTAGGTTTACCATTTTCTTATGTTTACCATTCTCTTAGGTTTACCATTCTCTTACGTTTGCCATTCTCTTAGGTTTACCATTCTCTTAGTTTGCCATTCTCTTAGGTTTACCATTCCCTTAGGTTTACCATTCTCTTAGGTTTGCCATTCTCTTAGGTTTACCATTCCCCATTAAAGGTGCTGATTAGAACATCATCATTTTCACCAAGAAAATACTAAATCCCTTTGTACCTTTTACCAGGAAATCAACGGCACCAAAAATAACAGAAACACCATTTTTTCTAGGGAGTGACTTGACAAAAAAAAAATGAACAACGAGATATTAATACTTATCGTGATTTTGACGATTATTCTTTGATGTGTAAACACGAGGACAAAATAGGCTTGAATATTGAAGATTATGGGGTCATGTACTTCGCAGAAATCCTTAATGCCTTGATTCTTGATCTAAACGTTTGGAATTCAACATGCATGGGACTTTTGTAAATAAATCGACATAGTTAAAATGACAAAAACTTCGAACTGCACAATACTATGATACTATATTTAAATGTTTCTCGTTATTTGGTGCTGACATTATTGGTAATACAATATATTAAGCTTTATATCCATGGTTATTTCCACAACACCATGGCAACAAAAACATACAAACGGTACATTACAACAGAGGTGGCCATTACAACCCATTAACCTCTTTAGAACACATTTAACACAACTAAAACACAAATGTCGTACGGATGTACGGACTAACGGATCGACAGAAAGGGTAGCCAACAATGGCCCTCGAGTTTCGTTACGGGGGCAATATAACCGTGGAAGGACGAAAGTTATTCTATCGCAAATGCTCTATTATCAGAACTAAATCTATATGACTGAGACTCGATCAGAAATAAAACAATGCGCTATAAAACAATATTGGAGAAACTTCCTTATTAGACTAAAAAACACGGTCAGAAACTTAAAATGGTTTACAAATACAGTAGTAAGGTAAATATCTACTTGGAATTGACTGATAACGTACAGGAATTTAGCAATGCTTAAATTAAAGAAAAGTCTAACAATTATCTCGTATCCTTAATTCACGAAGAAGTCGACATTTTATGTTTCAAATGCTTAATTAGAGGGATGTTATCACATGTGACATTATAGTATATATTCATATCACATTGCAAACACCCGCTTTGGTTGTAAGTCCGACAATGTCAACACAAAAGGTATATGCGTAACTGACACTTCATTCAGAACTAAGTAATATTTGTTTTCTTCATAACTGATATTTGTAATTTAATCTTAATACATTCACTTCAATACAAACACTTTTGATTTTATCCATCTTCTCATTTACGATAGAAATGAATTTTACATCTTCGTTAACTAAATAAAATCAATTATGTTAATGATATATCAAGAATACACTATCATGTCAAATGTCGATCTTGTGTACGATTGATTCTGCAAGTCGTACAAGTTGAAACATTTGGATGGAATTGCTCTGACCTGATTTGTTTGTCACCACCAGTTTATTACCACAAACAGATATTGCACTCGGGTATGTGATACCGTCATCTTCCGTTAACAGTTCCCGGACGTTAGTCCCGTCCCCGGACATCTGTACCACGTTGTGTGAGGTGTAACCACAGACATAGACGTTACCTTCCATGTCGACGTCCACTCCATACGCATGCTTAACTACACCAACCTTCAACACGTCCGTGTACTTGTTGTCAGTAGACAACCTACCAATCGCTGTACTACCAGTACTGGCGGTAAAATGGGCGATAAATAGCTGTCCGTCCTTGGAATCATGTGACAACGCGTATACATTGCCAGTATATCGATATAACGTCTTGGTCGTCCCGTCGTTCTTAACACTGCACACTTCGGATCCTGTACTCACGATAAACTCATCATCTCTGTATGTTATACCGTAATATCGTGTTTTTTTGTTTATTACAGACGACAGTGTAAGTTTGGAGGGTGTGACAGTCACTACACGTATACCTCCGGGACTCGGTATAGCGGCCGCCACAGTGGTGTTATCCACCATACACAGATCATTAGGTNCCGTAATATCGTGTTTTTTTGTTTATTACAGACGACAGTGTAAGTTTGGAGGGTGTGACAGTCACTACACGTATACCTCCGGGACTCGGTATAGCGGCCGCCACAGTGGTGTTATCCACCATACACAGATCCCAAGGATTTCCATCCAATTTTAACTCGTCCACAACATCCCCTGCGTCGTTAATTAACTTAATATTATTATTGTTTCTATCTCCCACCACAATTCTGCCGTCAGGTAAGTATACAACACCACGGAGAGCACAATCAAATTGATCAGACGGACATATTATGTTCAACTTTCTTATTTCCTTCACATTACATTGGGATAAAGGTTTGACGAGAGTTGGGACACTTGGTAAATGTTTTTGTTGCTTTCTGACAAAGATTTTACCAAAGTTCAGACTTGTCACGTCCGAATCGATTTCATGTTCAATACTGACAGTTGAAATCGACATCTGCATTTCTTTCACTAGATCCTTACAAGCCTCGAGCTCCGTCTGACCTTTCTGGTAAAGCCGGATCGTGTCCATATGGTCGTTCCTCTGTAGAGCTGTAGCGGACGATTCTAATGTATTCTGTATAGCGACCTTCAGCCGTTCACACTTCTGTGTGGACACCTTCAGATTTTCTCTTTCCTGTTTGTACGCCGTGATTACGTCATCTGTGATTTCCTTCTTCATCTCTCTGATACGTTTATCCATACGTTCCTGCAGGTCGTCGATGCTTTTCAGTACCGCATCTTTGTCGTCTGCAATGTTCTGTTGTCGTAGATAAAAATCCTTTATCATAGATTCCATGTCGTCTGCTCCTTGCTGTAGATATGTCTTTCTTTCCTCTAGTTGGGAGCTACTATTCAGTTTCTCACAGTAATCCTCTGTTGTGGACACGTTGTCACATTTCCTGTGACCAACAATAATACATTTACTGCAACCCAAGGACTTGTGATCCTCACAATAATAAGCAATCTCATCCTTGTGTTTGTCGCATTTTTTGTCAGATGTGTTTTGCCTCAGTTGCCAATTCTCAGAAGAATTCATATCTGCGATATCACAGCCAACGTGGATATCATCATGCAAATCTACTTTACAAGACTCACAGAACAATGACTGTGTAGTTTTACACCAGAATTGTGCAGGTACCAGCGTTCCCTTCCTCCTTTGGCAAGGCACGCAGTAATGTTGCTCTGTCGTCCTGTTTCTCAGTTGTATCATCTCTATGGCAACGGTGTCGGTCGGGAACTGCTGGGCCCATTTATCTTTGTCCTCTGTTTTGTCCACGGGGTGAGTTAGGGTCCTACAAACCGGACAGATAAAGGAAGTCGCCGTATCACTCGTCCCTGACACCTCACTGACGATGTAGCTACTCAAACATTCCTCACAAAGAGAATGACGACACGGCAGAGACTTCGGCTGTCGTAACTGCTCAAGACAGATCGGACATTTCAGAAGTTGAGAGTCCGACAGTTTAGGTAGTGTACTGTCTTCAGAGTGAGGGTCGGGATGTGGACCACCTTCCGCCATTGTATACGTACTCAAACGCTGAATATGTATCTGCAAATACGAGAATACAGTAATATAATTAGCACCGATTTTAAAATAGGTATTGTTTTGTTTACTACAACATATATAATCTATTCGCCTAGTTTCAACAAACGTTTACACATTATAATATGAAAAGGGCTACTAAATGTCACACGGCGTATAGATCATACATATTATTTTAAACTTCAGTAGTCATTTTTCTGGTTAATGATCAAATTGACATTCTTTATCGACTTTTTAAGAAATAAATATTTTAATTTCCGAAACAAACAATCTAATTTAATTCTACATTTGTTTGACCAAGGCACAATTTTACGGTCACAGCGTTTATGATAAATTTAATGAAAATTACCAAGCTTGAAGAAAATTGGTGAAAGTATTGTTTTCTTTGTAAGAGTTGTCTCCCTTGTGTTTGAAGCATACTTCATGTATCATTTGATTATAACTACGATACGATAATGATAACGTGGCCAAAGTACGTGTATCTAACGTGTTTACGATGAAACAAACACATTTGGTCAGTAGCAGTTTTTAGGTGGACTCGGCTGCAGCACGGGTGACTTAGAACCTTCGCTTGACACTGCCGGGAGGGGAGGGTATGCTCGTACCACTCTCCCCTGTGAGGTAAGCGTAGGGCCGTGGTATCGGGCTTATCTAACGTCCCTATATTTATACCCGCTAATCAACCTGGTCTATCTAATCGAACTGGCAGCTGATAACAGTAAAGACAGTGGCGACTGAACACACCGGCACCGACACATATAAACGAAAACGAGCAGTACATTAAGGCACGTATCGCAATATATTTAGTAAAATGTCTCGTAATCAAATAAACTAACAATACTTTTTCGCAATAAATATCAAAACGTGTCCACGTTATCTGACTTAAAAGAACGTGATAGCAGAAATATGTTACGTTAGATATTACATCTGTTAACAATGTAATTCATGAGAGATACTTTTCCTAAAAATACATAACAAGAGATCTCAGGGATATTGGCACCCATCGTCGTACCGTATAGGAATCAACATATGAAATTTGATAAAGATCTGTCAAGCACTTTAGAAATAGTGATAACAAAATTGAACTGTCGAAATTCAAGATGGCTGTTCAGTGGAAGTCCTATATTTTCCAATCAGTCCCAAAAACCAATCTGTATAACTAGACACAATGAGGCCCCTACATCTGAAATTTGAAAAAAAACCACCATCACTTTCTGAGAAATAGTGCTTACAAAATTCTTTTTTCATAGTTCAAGATGGCCACTTGCCAGCTATCTTGGTTTTCCTATTAGTCCCAAAATTCGATATGCCAAAATCGGGACAGACCATGGGGAACTCTTCAAGGAAAATTCGAGAAAGAGCCTTCTTGTACGTTCCTAGCAATAGCGCTAACAATCTTTAACTCTCATAATTCTAGATGGTTGTCATAAATGCGATCGGCGTTACTAAGAGCAACGGGGAACCTTTAGGTGTAATTTAAGAAGGATCCATACAATACCGTGAAATAGCGCTTACAAGAATTATTTAAGGACGGACAGACGGACGACGGACGAAGTGACACATGTATTGACATGCGGACAACGGTCCACGGACGATGGTTTATCTCAACATCTAACCATCATCAGATATATATAACAGTGTTACGCAAATAGCGAGTTTGGCTGTAGGCCTACATAGCGCATGAGTTCCGAGCTCGAATCCGCGTTGGTGTGTATTTTGATCCGCATACTCTTACAGATACACGCTACATTAGAACTATTGTGTTTTAGGTTTTGTTTAGATTTGTTTATTTTATGATATAAATGCCTGTGATTTGGTGTTTAGTAGATAACTGATATAGTATGACTACTAAATGTGTAAGTGATAACGACACGTGGACAGTCAATATGTAGAACTGTTTATCGCTGATATGGTCGTTGTACGACTTCTACATAGGCCACAAAACGATAAAGATTTGTTTCAGGTACCCCAACCGACCTTAGTTTTTACCTCCGACACTAACAATTTTATCTCACTCGAACACTCATTCGAATGCGCCGAAAATCGTTCATTAAATTCAATATGACATGGACACGAATGTAATATTATATTTTTCACATAACTATCACAAATTGTAAATTGTTATGAGCTGACTCTATAAAGGTCAAAATCAAAGTACTCCGATGGTAGTATTGACGTGCGACGCAGTGCAAAGTAGTTTCACACTTTTTTTTAATAATGAACAGTTTTCAATGCAATAAAAATGTTAGTGACATAGATTTGTCAAGATGGCGGGTCAAACCCGATTGATGTCTTTTACATTTTCAAAATGTATGTACATGTATATGTTTGGGAAATCACCACCAGTGTGACATTGTTATCAAGAATGAAAATATTTGTTATTTCTTTAAATACACGTGTGTATTTAAATTAAATACAAATTAATTACATGGCCGTATTACATAATAAAATGGGTCAGTTATGTGATAAATATCATGAACACCTGATGTCAAATCATCAGCTGCTTCAAGTACGGTAACCGTTACTAAAACCTGTTCCACCCTATCCCAGTTATTTTCGAGGGCCCCTTACATTTTCTGACTTCGTATTGCTTCCAATTCAACATCATCGCCTCCAAGAACCCCTACCCACACACACACCCCTTGCCTCCCCTACCACCCATCCAACCCAGGGTTCCACCCTTGAAGCCGTTGCTCCAAGCTAAGAACATTGTGTGGGCGATTTGCAACATGGACAAAGTTCATTGATTCTTCTAAATATCACATATAGGTGTGGATGTGTGGTGTTTGTGTGACTCTCATGTTTCTACTACTAATTTGATTGAGTCATTTATCTAACTTTACAATCACCACTGGAAAATACTTAACGATTACATCAATATCCTCGTAGTAAATACACAATATGTACATGTTTGTGTGTTATACGTGATTCATACGTTATGTAAAAAAAGTCAGTAAGCAGGATACATAGTTGTACTTACTGCTCCATCGATGTATTCGAATCTTTGAATGACGAGGTGTGTCCACCCCTCTCCGATGATGTATCAGCTACCTATATATGGAACGTGACCCTATCAACTAACAGCAAGGCCGTAATACCGGGTATGATGTATCCGGATAACTCAAGGTCTATTTAGTACACAGGCCTATGCATCGTATAAGATGTGGAGTATCAAAATAGGTGCTTTCTAGGTATTTCATTGTATAATATGTCATTAAAATAATTAAAAAATCCTAAAACGCCATCAGCCCGGACTCAAGTTTTTTGCTCTTATCAATGATGCTAAATTACTCTGAATGTTGTAAGATTGATATCGATTAATCTTTTTGAACAAATAAAATTTGTTTATTTTCTGAAACAGCTTTAGAGCTAATTAGTAATTAGCATAATAAAAATCGACGAATCAGACTATACGTTATCATTATAGTAGAATTTGATGGGTTGAATTGATGACCTACTTTTGATACAACTGATAATCAAAGTATCTTAGCTTTAGGCATTTTGCTTCGACATTGTTATTCCAAATATTTATGTTTTTAAATTTACATGTAAAACATATTTTGTGATAAACACGGCAGACTACAAAGAGAAGTTATCTAACGTTAATATTTTATATAAATATAATTGAATTTAGACATTAACGAGAAATGACTCTGCAAAAGATAAACATAGTTTTAATTGTGTGTGGAAATAAGTCAGAAATAACCGAGTAACTAAAAAACCAATAATGATAATAAAAAGAATGAGGGCATTTTTGCCCAAAATCATCAGATACTAATCAGGTTATCAAGTTGCCCGTTGTCCTTTCTTTTATCATCTGTCCGTAATTGTGTATGTCTGTAAACAATTTCACAGAAGGAAAATATATTTTGCGTGCATAAAGGAGGGTTCGAAAAGAAACATTTCCATCTTTCCAACGATAGTAAACATATTTGTACATCAAGTAGAAATGTGGTTTTTGATTGAAGAATGATAGGTGAGGACGAATAATCGTCATCGATAATTTTTCACCCTTCTCGTCTATAATATCATTGGGGATGGCATATTTACCAAAAAATAATTTTAACACCTAAAACGTTACTCTGAACACCTCATCTTAGGTCCAAACATATATATTACTAATTCTCAGGACCCTGTGGTTGTGATATAATTCGTGAATATGACGCCGCCTATATCGAGTAACATGGCGTGTAAATACGTGATGTCGTTGCTATATTAGTGGCATATAAATATCACACACTTGTTAGACTTGTAGGTAGATGAATATCAACAGAATATATATCTCGGAGGGAGGTTAATTTCTACATAAAATATCAACATAAAGTTTATCTCGGGGAGATGATTCATTTCCAAAAAGAATTGTCTCAGAGTGTAGGTATTGAAAGCATCATCAGAGAGTATTTCGGACACTGGGTAGAGACACGTCAACAGCGAAATGACATGACACGCGTCATAATGTGTAATACGAGTTTCTCATCGCGTGCGATGACACCCCNTGCTTGAGAGCGAGCGGCGATTCCGCAGAGCCTGTGAACAGATTGTGCAACTGAATTACAAGCTTGATGAGGTGCAGTCCCGTTACCTCGGCGCCAAGAGAGACGGACTACGAACCTTTCGCTACAACTACAGACTTCGACTGTCGGTTATCGAAGGCCTCCGGAACATGTACTACGACTATGCCCACCAGAAGGCTGAAGACATATCCGGACTACGAAAGGACCTGTATGGCGAAATTGTAGACGTTGTATCGGGATCAGAAGACGAAGAATAACTGAGATGCGGTCTTAAATCTTAACAACGGCTCTTTTCAGAGCCAACCACTTTTCTCGAAAAGTGTCCATTACCCTCGAAATTACGCATAAAAAAACTGTGTTGTTGTTTTATTTGTTTAAGGGGGAGATACAAGTCATATGGCATATCCACTTGCATATACAACCCAGTGAAATATTTCACTTTAACAACAACAAGTATACCCTTATCAAATACCAAAATGTTCATTAGAACATAATTGTCATTTATAGACAATAATAATTTTAAAAAGTTAACTCAAAACTTTCTGAGAACACATTTAAATTCATTGTATGGTTGCGTCCTTAGCTAACACAAGCTAAGTCCTAAAATTCCACAAAAATGTTATTTAATTTCTTCAATCTGTAGTCTATGAAAACCTACAAAGGAATTCACTCAAAATTCCTTCACAATGAAATACTGGCACAATTTCCTGATGGTTGTTGGCCAAAATTTCCAGCCATTTTTTGCTAGAAAGTAGCCCATGTAGTCAGTGAAGCAGAAAGTATGGAGGCTCAAAACTGTAAAACTGTAAATTAAAAAAATTTCCTTCATTTTTACTAAATCCTCTTAAAACTTTGATGGCTTTATTATCTTTAAATATAGTTTCGATTTCCAAATTGGAAAATGTTAGACAATCTTTAAAAGAGTTATCACCCTTTATTTAATCTTAACTTCAAAACTGTTCAGAGATCTTCTCCCTGATTTCTACACAAACAGTCCATGGATACTTATACATGTAACACTAGATCCAGAGGCACAAAAGTTTTGTAAGTTGTAAGTCATGATCAATTCTAATATGTTTATCAAGGAACAATTCGAATATGCTTACCAAAGAAATGATTTCCAAGAGGTCAATGGCTGAACTAGCTGCATCATTGACTGACTGTTATCAGATCTTTATAAAAAGGCTTGCAGGGTATTTAGAGGAAGAAGTTATTTGGTTGGCTGCCTGGCTGTTTGGTGAGTTGGCAGAGCTAGTTGCCTGATTTGACTGGGTTGGGTGGCTCAAGTGCCCAACTGATTCGATGGGTAATGTGTAGTGAATATAACAATTCTACTAAAACATTTTCTGACTGACATATATTATCTACACAGTTTGTGTAGTAAACTATTTCATTTACATATTTAATCAGCATTGTGTAACTTCACATCAGGTGTCATATGTCTCAAATGTAGTTTGATAAATAGCTAACAGAGTACAACATCTTAGCTAGAAAACATCAAAACATTTATCTTTCATCCTGATAAGTGCAGTTATCCATTTAGCCTATATTTACTAGAGACAGTCCATATTGTCCAGTATATTTGTTCTGATGAGTGCAGTATGTACAGAGGGTGTCATATAAAGTAATAGACTTGTCTACAACTTAAATAGGCCTAATATTGGCCCCAGAACAATGCTTAGCTGAGAATTATGACTAACCATCAAGACAGGAATGGTTGAACTTGACAGTAGTCTAGTTGACTTGGGTAAATGACCGGCCTGGTTGATTGGTATAGTTGACTTGAGCAGTTGACCGGTTTGGTTAAATTGGGCTGGTTAGCTGGACTGGTTGACTTGGACTGCTTAACTGGAGAACAAGCTGTCTGGACTGTGTAACTTGGGCTGGCTAACTGGACTAGTTGGCTGAGATGGGGGAGTGTACTGGTTGACTTGGCTGGTTGACTGACTGGACTGGTTGACTTGGCTGACTGACTGGACTGGTCAACTTGGACTGGCTGACTGGACTGGCAGACTTCTAGTGGACCAACTGCTCAGCTAGTTTGTCATGTATCTGTTTCCTGTAACATAGGAAAAATAAAACAGTTCTAAACAAAACATCTTGGGCTGTTTTCTTTGTTACGCTTACATATAAAAATAAATATCACAACTTTAAACTATCAGGTGGAGGTAGGTACTGATTCCTAAACAACCTCTATAGTTTTCATATATGTGCATTACATAATTTGCAGAATGAAGGTGCTCTCAATTACATTTTATTACAAAGTGGTGACTATTGGTCTATCTATTAGTTCTGAACATCATACATAAAGCTGCCATAATTTATACTGTCAGAGTTTACATACGTTACCTGTTCAAAATTATCTGCTGTACAGGTAGAGATTTTAAAGTACAGAACTTGATATATGTGTTTTCCAACCCAACGAAGCAGCATTGACACCAACAAACTTCAAATATATCCATTGTCTACATTGATATAATTACAACAACATTTCCCATCCAAATTGTTCTTCCATTTGTAAATACAATGTACCAGGTACATATTTGGTTAGTTTAAAATCCCTTCAACGGTACAGAAGGAGAAGGATCTTTAAAATTTTCCTCTATTTCCCCTAATGGGCCTCACTCATCTGCCCCAAAGAAGGGGGTCCACACACCTCAGTTGAAACAAAATTGATTCTTTCGTCCCTTAGCATGCTTTGGGCCAGGTGAGCTAAAAATGGCAAAAGTGTATTGCGCAGTTAAGTATGAAAAAATGTCATCTTTTATCCAGTTATTAAATTACCAAACTTCAGAAGCAGACAGAGTGACTCAAGTAGACTTGTTGGCTCAGTTGTCTGTGCGGACACAAGTCAGCTGGTCTGCTGCATCGGGACTGTTGGCAGGTCTTACAGGTTGGGTGGTGTGAAGGGTTAGATGGTCTGATGTGTTAATACATGCCTCGTATGAGCGGTTCCTCAGCATGCTACTGGTTAGGTCAGCAGGCTGTGATAAATGGCAGGGTGGTTTGGATACAGGGATTGCCTGATCAACAAAAATAACATCCTGTCGTACCTTTATATAACAGCTAAGAATACTTTAGTTATAGCATTAATCATACACTTACTTGTACTAAGTTGATATCGATAAATTATATGAATTCAATGATATTCACAGATTTAATGATAATTTTGGACATGTAGGAAATATGCAACCAATGTCTTTATTCATAAAATGACACAATCCTTTTACTCTCAACATGGAAATTACTATATTCAGATTAATTCCACGAACTCACCTAAATATCCCCAAATTTAAGATCACCATTATGTAAGTCTGGCTGTAGATTATGCACCATGGTTTTTGCTGTTTTCCTTTGTATTTCACATCGTACACGGCCCCATCTAGAGATGTATTACACACAACAAAGTAAAGGTGCGTTCGATTACACACACTAGTACAGTATAGGAGGTCTGGATAAGGACAATACCATTACACCATATTCCTCATCTTTTCCTGTAACATATTCCAGCACATAGCCTTTTTTGGCCTTCTAACCATTTGTCTTTATTCAAGTCACCTAGTGAAAAATAGAAAGTGAAATGACACAACTCAATTCAAACAGGTGTTTTTAACGGAAAATTAATATCATTGTTTTTATCATCCCTTCAACTGCCATAGAAACATGAATGTACAACCCTTAAAATATAAAATCCATGGTAAAAGTTTTTGGACCACCAATCTGAGAAGTAAGTTTGAAAGACTACAAGCATTTTTACTGATGTTACTAATAAGCAATTACTGTTGCGATAGTTTCCTCAACAAAAACAACTTCCTTGAGAACATGGTCCAGTAAGAGACATTCACAATATTGTCACACCAATGTAGTGAAAAACAGAATATACACTATTGTTTATTTATATCAGCTATTTAAGGGCTGGAATATTTCAGTCGTTGACTCAGCATATGTTGTATTACATCGTATAGAGACTTCAATTACTTTGAAATGAACAGTGGCTGGCCAAATGCAAACTTTGCAAAAATTGATTGTTAGAATTCAAAGCTGACCACAGGGTTTTGCTTTGATCAGCATCAACTGTTTCAACTGGTTAAACCAGAGCAGAAAGCACCGGTACAGATCTAGACTGGGGCTAACCTCTGGGTATGGCACATGTAAATCATGGGGTCAATATTTTTATCATGTTTATTTCTGTGTCATGGAAACAGTCCAGTAAACATGAAACAGAAATTTTATAACTGTGTACCTGTTCTATCATTGTTGCATCTTTAACTTGACACCTTCTTGATGTGGGAACACTTTGAGCTGGAAGTTCACTTTTTTCACCTGAAAATAGTTTTAAAAAGTATATATTGCATCAATTTCTCCACTGCTTTATAGGATATAAATATAGTTTCAAAAACATGCCAAATTGTTGAGTAACAACTTAACGCTTTTTGAAACATAAATTTCAGAAGAAAATTTTGCACCAGTTACAAAATATAAAATTTAAATGTGAAATATTATGATTCAGTCAGTTACTCAATTTCATACCAATTACACTTGTACATACTTTACTTAATACTTTATTTACTAAACAACAGTGTGTGATTTGCTTGTTTCAATTGTCTGAATGAGAGCGTCCTATGTGAAGGCATATTTTGGTTGTAGAATCAATTCACAAAAAGTTAATGCATATATATTTAACAGATTAAATGACAAAATAAGTTAATTGTCTATAAAACACTTTGCGAATGAATACTATTAAGTAACCGCTCGACCAATCCACTTATGTTTACCTGATCCTGTTGCCTTAGACACTGTAGTATTTGTCATCTTTCTTGTTGCCAGTTCTCATAGGTTTCTTAACTCATGAATTTCTGTAACCACAGAAGGTCACTTGGGGTACAAACTGAAAACAAAATTATATACATACACATGTAGTGATGTACATTACTTCAAAATGCCTTCCAGTTACTAAATTAAACTTTAAAAGACTTTTTCTCTTTCCCAAGACTAATTTGAAGTGCTACACGTGTATGAGTCTCCATACAGTCACGCACGGTCTTTTATACTCGAGTTACATTTTCGGGGGCTACTGACAGGGGGTAAACAATACATAACACATGCTATTTTTCGGGAATAAATCAATTAAAATGGCAATGTATCAAATAATGATACAAACATCGATGGAAGGAAATGTGTCAAAAATTAAATTGATTTTATTTTGCAAATACTTGTTGTCCATACAGCGAGAAAGTTCTTGGACCACAAACAAATGCGTGTAACCACGTGAGAAAATGCAGATCTGACACGTTCAACACGGGGCAAACACTTCATAAAAAGTGTTATAGGAGCGATAAGAAACTGACGAACTGCGATCGACTAGCTTAGTGATAATTAATGCAACATATATTGCATAATATTTAAGGATCTCGAACGTAATAGTAATACTTATGTGTAAATCATACTTACTTGCAAACGGACTGTCCTTGGTTAGCTTACCGGATGTGCCCAACAACACCTGTGCTATTGTTTATACTCCGCTTCCGAAGAACTATATGTGTTTCAGTTTTATGATTTTTGAACATTTAAGTTCAAGATTACATATTTTTATGATACATTTGTTGTTGCATAACATATAATATTGCCATTTTGAGACAACGATATCATTTTTATCGATGTTTCGCAAAGATTTCGGATTCGCGTATTGATATCACAGAATGTAAAAAGTCCATCATGGCGAGATGTAAACAACATCGTGAATTAAGTCTGTGAAATCCCCGTTTTTTCTACTGAATCTGCATGTGATCCATGTTTTTTTCTTCATTAGCAGTCATTGGTAACGACATCCATTTAACCAAAACTTATCATGTGACCGATTGTCAAGACCAGATTATTTTGTATACAAGCTATGAAGACACGCAGTTTCGCTTTCTTTCGAAAGTCTCAAAACCTAGTGAAATTTGTCACCCGCACGTGTGTTCAGAAAGGATTTTTGTCGATATAGAATAGAATTTCGAAAATATCTCGATAGGTTTCCATTCCTTATATGTGCGAGAAATAAATAATCTATATTTAGTAATATTATAACGTGTAATAAAAGCTACAGCGATGCAACCATAAACAATTACAAAAACACTAGTTTTCTTCTTATAACACATTTTTGGAGAAAAAACATGATTTTGTTAATTGTTTGTTCATCAATGAGACCATTAGGCACAAACAAAATGCGTTACGGTACTCAGTGCTCTTGTATTTTACCACTGAAAAAATTGCCAGTTTTCACCCATGGCCACTGTATCTCCCCC